AGATGCCTTTTCTTAGCTTGAGAGTGGCCACCTAAGATATAACTATTGATCTTTCCTCACCTGGAGCAAACAAGAGTGAAGAAAATCAAAGACATATGGAAACAGTCCAAAGGACTAATGGACCATGAGAACCTCAGCCTATAATGACCCAGAGACCAGAAGAACTAGATGGTGCCCAGCTACCAATGCCAACCACTTGGAAAGGGATTAAAATTTGGAGACTCTGTATAGAGTGATAGAAAAATGTGGAACAAAACTCAAAATCATAAATATACCAGGCTTACTGGTCTGATAGAGACTGGTGAAACCCCCAATCAGGCAGACAATAGACAGGCCTATAAGCTGAGCTGAACACTTACCTACACCAGGAAGATGTGCTCCTTAGAACAATCAACCATGGGAGATCAGAAAGGCAGCATTTGCACAGGGAGAAAGGTAAGGAGGCAGGAGTGCATAGGCAAGAACACAGGGAAAGGGTAACCATAGGGAGGAAGTGGGAGGAGAGTGTTACACTGTGGAGAATGGGACCAGTGTCACAAAACAAAATGTGCATGAACTGTTGAATGTAAAAATGAATCTGCTTTGTAGAATTTAACCCAAATCACAATAAAAAGTTTTAAAAAAGGGATGCCTTTTCAAAAAATTGTTTTATTTTTGTTGTTGAGAATATACACAGTAAAACATACATCAATAGAACGATTTCTACATGTGTAATTCAGTGACATTTCAGTTGTGCAACCATTTTCAGCTTCCTTTTCTGAGTTGTTACTCCCCCATTGACATCAACACACTGCTCCCTAAGGTGCCTATCTAATCTTTCAAGTTGCTGTTGTCAATTTGATCCCATGTAGATAGATCGTAAAAGAGAATAATGCTCAGGCAGACATTCTTGACTAATTAAGCTAAACTATGGTTTAAGAAGACTTCTTATTTTTGGATATTTTTGGTTTAAGGTTTAAATATTATTGCACAGCAATAGTTTTTGGGGTTCATACAGCCTTCATGGCTCCAGAAAATCTGGATTCTGCCAGAATTTTAAATTCAGTTCTGCAGTTTCCTCCTTTTGATCAGTAAGATCCATGTTCAATACAACTTTACATCGTATACTTAACCAAAAAAAGAAAAAGAAAAAACTCTAAAAACCTAGCCCAAGTCCATTGCCTCCAAGTTGATTCCAATTTATGGTAGCCCTAGGAGCTCTGCTGGTGCGGTGCCTAAGGCATTTGGCTGCTAACCAGAAGGCCGGTGGTTGAAACCCACCAGCCACTCTGTGGAAGGAAGATTGGGCACTCTACTTCTGTAAAGATTTACCACCTTGGAAACCTGATATGGGTTGCTATGAAGCAGAATCGACTAGACTCGATGGCAGTGTTTTTTGTTTTGTTTTGTTTTGTTTTTTAATAGAGTAGAATTGCCCCATAGAGTTCCCAAGGCTGTAATCTTTATGGGAGCAGACTGCCACATCTTCCTCCCTCAGAGTGACTGGTGGGTTCAAACTGCTGACCTTTCAGTTGTCAGCTGAGTGCTTTAACCACTGAGTCACAGTCAATATTTGCCATTTTGATCAATTGTGTCTTTTAATAATTATACAGGCAGTCCCCCACTTACGACGTATATGAGTTTCAAAGAACTACACTTACTTTTTTGGATGTTGTTGTTGTTGTTGTTATGTGCCGTCGAGTCAGACCTGACTCATAGCGACCCCTCCTTGGGTTTCCAAGGCAGTATCACTATGGAAGTAGATTGCCCCATCTTCCATCCGAGGAGTGACTGGTGGGTTTGAACCAACAGCCAAGTGCCTTAGCCACTATGCTACCAGAGCTCCCACTTTTTTGGATACATCTTATTATTAGTAATATGTACTACATATAAGGTTGTAGCTTGTAATTTGCTGCTGTTCTCATCCCCAGATACAATGTTTCCAACCTCCAAAGACAAATAAAGATTGGATTTATAAAGATAGTGATAATAAAAGGCAATAATAATGAAAAAAAAAAAAAAAGGTATTTGACTTATGTCAGAATTGCCTTACAATGGAGTAGTAGTTGGAAAGGACCCCTGTCATAAGTCAAAGACTTGTTTTTAGGTGCTATCAAGTTTGTTCCAACTCTCAGAGACCTTATGTATAACAGAAGGAAACACTGCCCGGTCCTATGCCAGCCTCAAATCATTGCTATGCCTGAGGCCATTGCTTTAGCCACTGTGTCGATCTCATTGAGGCATCTTCCTTTTTTGTTGTTGTTGTTGTTTGCTGACCCTCTACTTTACCAAGCAGGATGCCTTTCTCCAGGGACTAATCCCTTCTGATAACATGTCCAAAGTATGTGAGATGAAGTCTAGCCACTCTTGCTTCTAAGAAGCATTCTGGGTGTACTTCTAATACATTTGTTCCATCTTCTGGCAGTCAATGGTATGTTCAATATTCTTCAGCAGTGCCATAATTCAAAGGCATCAATTCTTCTTTGGCCTTCCTTATTCATTGTCCAGCTTTCGTACACATGAGGCAATTGAAAATAGCACCACTGGGGGCCAAACTCACCTTAGTCCTCAAAGTGGCATCTTTGATTTTTTAACACTTTTAAGAGGTCTTTTGCAGTAGATTTGCCCAATGCAATAGGGCATTTGATTTCTTGACTGCTGCTTCTGTGGACGTTGACTGTGGATACAATTAAGATGAAATCCTCGATGACTTCAGTATTTTCTCCTTTTATCATGATATGGCTTATTGGTTCAGTTGTGAGGGATACATCTTATTATTAGTCATATGTACTACATATAAGGTTGTAGTACATATTTATGTTGACGTGTAATCCATACTGAAGTCTTTGATCAGTAAGGGCTTCATCAGTAAATGGCATAAGCAAGGTTGTGTCATCTGCATATT